ATGGGCTTCGACCCATGAGCCATGTCAGCCAAGGCCACAACTGTGGTAACGTTTGCTCAGCTGAGCACAGGCAGGGACATTTTCCTGTCAACCATCGCTCGGGCGGGTCGCTCGGGTGTTTTCGGGTCCATGCTCGGCCGAGGTTCTGCTCGGCGTGCGGAGCTCCGGCCAGGATCCTGAGACAGCTTTAGACAATATCACCCACATTTGGCTCGTGTTTATACAGTAAGGAACTCTGATTCTCTATATAAGCACAAGTCAGACAACGTCACAGTATTACCCCACACTGACTGACGACCACCACTCGAGACCCCCACGTGTTAGACATCCTTAGACCCACGACCGAGCCGGTCGGTTGACCGAGCCGTTCGGTGAACCGGTCCTTCGGTGCTCAGGTGGTGGTGAAGAGTGGTAGCGCAGGCGTCGGCGTACGGTGGGTTCGGTGGCTGGACGGAAGGGTCAGTTCGGTGGCAGCGACCATGGAATTCAGAGTCCACAAAACTCCACATGACATGACATATCATAGCGACCGTGCCATGTCAAGTTTTCTGAATCATCTGATGCCACGAAAAAACTACAGCGGCTCCAGGTGGCTCCCCGCCCAACATGGGCCAGAAAGGCGGCTGCGCAGGCAGAGACGGATCCGACGGACACGTCGTGAGCTGTTCCGTTCCTTTCGAGCTGGATCTGCCCATCCGAATCACGGTGGGAATTGTCGGACTTTTGATCAATCTTTTCATTAGTATCTTAGTCTTCTCTTGGAGCTGGATCTGCAGGACCACCCATGAATGGCATGATGGGCTGCCCCATCATGATGGGCTGCGGAGGCTGCGGAGGCTGCGGACCCTGTGGACCTTGCGGCTGTGTCTTGGCCGGAGCATCCCCCACGGTGTCCGTCGCGGGCCGATGGGACCGAGTCACCGAGGTGCCATGAACATGCGGGCCGATGCGCCAACCTTCATGCCGTACATGGAGGCAGAGGAGAGACATGGAGAGTAGGGAGAGTAGGCTCCAAGCTTCGGTTTCGATCGTGGTTTCTTGACATCCCTGGATTCCGGAGGATTTGAGCTTTGCGAAGATTCACGAATCATTGAGTCGCTTTGTGCACCCGCTCTTCGCCGGGCTCCGCCGGTTTGTTAGGAGCAAGAGAGCCACAGCCACACCCCACAGCCTGCTCAGGCAGTGTGTCTTCGGATATCAAGAAGATTGATGATGTGATGATGTGACTGATGTGTGTTTCAATTAGGAGACCTCTTCACACCCACCTGCTGAAAGGGGGAATCTGTGAACATTACAGAATCTATCAGAATCTTATGAACTCCCCGTCCAGACCATCCCAAATAGCCCAATATGATCCCATTGTTCAGGTCATGAAACCAGTTTTGGAGCGACCTCAGATTCATCATGACACACCGTCAAACTTTACGGAAGACTACACAAGTAAAGAGAGGGACACAGCTAAAACACAGATATGACACTCACCAAATCCTGAGGAAGTCTTGATTTAACAAGTCAATCAGTTTGGACCGTGGCTCCTATCACTCTTCGGTACTCTTCATCCCCAGTTCACCGACACGGTGAGCAACGAACTGGATGTGATGCGTGGACGCCGGGGCCCCAGTGGAGCATCCTGTCGGCCGGAGAGGACTTCCATTGAAGCCACCACAAGGGGTTAAGGTGCGTTTCCATGAGTTTCCCTCATTTTGAGACAAATTGAGACAAACCCATCCTCATCCATATATTTATACAATATTATACAATGTCCTTTTTCAGAAGCCCTGACTTGAGAAGTTTCTGCGAGTGAGTCGTCATGAGGTTTGATGCTCATTGCCGCATTGAAGGAGACGGGTCTCGGTCGACTGGGTCGTGTGAACGGACACAGTCGGAGGCGGCCTCCGGAGAGGCCTCTCCGCCGTGGGTTTTCAGGATATCGAGCAAAGAGACTCCGACAATGCACGCGAAAAAGATGGACATGTGGCTGGCTTCTCAGCGTTTTTTGCGGCCCAACATTTGTGGATGAGAGAGAGAGAGAGAGAGAGAAAAACAAACACAGGCAGACTGAAGACATTGCTCAGACTTCTGCTTGAGTTAATAATTATTTGGTGCTTCGTCATTTTCTGGTGCTTCACGGTTACAGAAAGGTTCACGCCGAGTCGGCTTGAGTCGTACGCAAGGCTTGGTTGGCCTGAAGCAACAAGAACACTGGCGCGCTTTGCAAATCCGTGGCGGCATGAGCCGGAGTTTTGGGTGGGTATCAGAGTATGGAGACTCTCAACCGGGTTTAGTCTGTTTCCCTTTGCCCCGGGAGTCGTTGGGGCCTGTTAAGAAGAATGCCTTGCAGGAGTTCCCGGACACTTGCTTCCTTGCTGGCTGGCCACAAATCAAGCCAGTGCTGCCAGGATTTCTAAGAAGGCCCACGTCGTACGTTTCAGAGGTCCCCGACTCAGACGTTCACCCAGAAATGCATGTCTGACATTGCGTTTGCCCAGCAAACTGGCTTTTCAACATGCTGAAGCCGTCATCCACCGCATTGGCGGCGCCTTCGCCTGCCGCATTGAGGCGAGGGAAAGAACCTTGCTGGAAATGCTGAAACTTACAGTCAGCTCCCTGACAGATTGGTGTTTGAAAGCCAGCACCAAATGATTCAAATGACCAGCACCAAACAACATGTTCATTGTTGTGGACAGCAGTCTACTGCACTTCAGGTGAGGCTCTACGTCTGGCAAAGACTAAATCTCTGTACTTTGTGCCGCAGACTGCCAGCAGAGCAGAAGGTTCATGGCCAGCCCTAAAAGGGTATTGGCGCGCTGCCCGTGCGGTCCTGTCGCACGGAGCGAGCGTTTTTGATGCGGATCATTGAAGAGCATGTCAGACAGGTCTACGAGTCTACCATTATCAACCATTTACTACCCTTTTGGATCCTGGACATGAACCTCCTTTTCAACAGGGTCGCGCTTTGTTCAAAGGGCGTGCGCTCCACGGGCACTTGTGTCGCTATGCATTGTCAAAGTTCCAGCGGCTCACAAGGAGTTACTCTGATGAAGTTGGAAGGGTTCCTTCTTTGGACACTTTCTTTTCATATGTTGCGCACATGCCATTCGCAGAAACTCGGAGTCAATATCAGTTCATAGCGATCATGTTTGGGTGTTAAGCTGTGGGCTTTTCGAGGACCCGTGGACACCGGGGGCAACGCGGCAACGCCCGTGCACCATGGGTGTTGCTTCCGCCGTCGCCACGCGTTTTCACGTGCTTTGAACAACCGAGTTGGTCTCACAGAGGCTGACTGAGGCCCCCCAAAAAGCCAGGTCGAAGGAGGTACAGGCCACAGTTGAGCAGTGGCCAAAACCACCAATACATGCCATACAGGTCCAAAGACCTGTATATAATCAATGATCTGGTAAATGATTGGACATGGATTCGAATGCAGTTCTTGTTTGCCGGGTTTTGGCTGAGGCTCCGCTGTTGGTCTTCGTTTCTGAATTTCTTGGCACACTGTTTTGTTTGAAACACTTGCCATGGAGCTGTACCCAGTCAACAAGCATTGTCGCTTTTGGTTCGATGGCCAATCCACCTCTTTGACCTTTGCCATGTGTGCGGTCGACTTTCTCCAAATTCTCCGCATTCACTCTAGCATTCAGCGGCGCGTTCGCACGTTTCTACTATGAAAAATGCTCCCGACCGTCTGGGGTGACACACCAAGACCGAAACATCGCTTCGCTCGGTCTGCGCTGCCCCCAAGCCTGAGAAACGTTGAAGAGACGGCGTTTCCTCCATTTTTGTCATGGTCACACTTAGGATAACCAAAAGAAGCCATGACGTGCCGGGCAACCGGTGATTTCAACATATTTCAACCATGGCTCCTATTAGTTCGACCTATATTTCGACCGTATGATGAGATAAAACCCCAGATATTGGCGGTTGCATCCAGGTTGCAAATGCCAGAATCAGGGAAACGGTGCATTGATGAAAACCCATGAAAGCCTCATGTTTGCATATTCACTGCCACTTGGAGAAGTGGTACAATTTGGAGTTGGCCCAGTCACAGATCTGTTTCCTCATCACAGAATCGCTCACCTTGAATGGTCACCCCGACAGAGGGAGCTCAATTTCCCGGGACTTTTGAATGCCAAACAATGATTTGCCCAGCCTGGAGAGATTTTAAGATCTCCAATCAGCGACTTTCCATCTCCCTGTGAAAGTAAGGCCAGGATCAGTCGGGTCACCACCAGAGTGCCAAACAACATACAATCAAAATATTTTAGTCAGTGTGAAGAAGAGAGTTTGCGACAGACAAGACTGAAAAAGAAAGAACGCAACAATTGGGTCCTGAGGAGTTTTTTGGTTACCCGCACCTGCGACATCAGGGAGTTGTTTTGGTCTACAGCAGTTGAACTGCTGTAGCGCAAGGAGTTCACCGATGTGTGAGTTCGTCTTCGTCTTAGGCAAGGCAACGATAGACGCTGTGAGTGGACCCTGTCAGCAACATCTCCAAGGGTCTCAGTGAAAAAGAAAGGCCCCGGTTGAATAGCTTTAGAAAGAAGAACTCCCTTCTTCAAGCAAGCTCGACCCTTGAACGGGCTTCTTTGGGACACTCACTATCAGCTTGCAGAGTTTTTGAAACAAAAGCTGAAACCAAAGATGTCAGGCTGCGCTGAACATAGATTCATTCATTTCAGTTCTTGACATCTTTCTGGACAGTGGTTTTGGGCAGCTTGAATGCAGAGAGAACGAGGAGAGTTGCAGGCGACCATTTGCGCAACAGCTGGGAAAAAGGGCAGTTGTGCTGAATCCAAAGATCCATGCCACACATATCTATACCATGCCTTAAAGAAACTCAGCATACACTTCGCAAGTGTGCCTTTGCTGAGTGGTGTTTGCTGGGCTCGGGTTGGCTTTGGGGCTCGACAGGTTCCACATGCAGAAGCAGGTGTAAACATATAGATGTAGCGGAAGGACACTGTTTTCTTGTTTGCATAGAACATTTAGAAACCATTCATCAGCTCAGCCCAAAAACATCCCAGCTGGACATCTGCGGGATGGCGACCAAATTGACTGGACCCCGTGTTCCGTTGGGAGCTTGGGGAAGTCTGCGCACCAAACTTCAGTGGTGTCCTTTTCTCCGGTTCCCTTTGATCAACCTGCCTTCATATTCAATGAAACGCTGGCCAAAAGCACCGACAACTTTCTACAGATTCACTGTGATTTATTCCCAAATCTCACATGTCAACGTAGTTTTGGAGGAATCCTGCAGATCCCCAGATCCCATCAGATCTCTCCAAGCTGAGGCCCAAAGGCTCCCGTCAGCTGAAACCACCAGGCAGGGAGGATGGAGGTCCGTCGTGGAAAGGAAGATCGTTCTTGGTGGATGCTGGTGAAGAACATGCTATTAAATAGTGTATTAAATATATGTATGATCCCCAACCCTATACTAGCCCTATACATGTCGACATCAATCATGGTCTTGATGACAAGATCATGAAAGACTCATCCTTGCGTGCCTTTGATTCTGGACCTGTTTGGACCTTTCCTGTTTTGAACCCTTCAGGTGTCCCAGGCCCACCGGGCCCGCCCAACGGGTCTTCGCCTCGACCAGGCGAGGCGCGCTCCTCGGCGCCCCGGGTGTCCCAGGTGCAACGACAGGTGGACGAGGCCGGGCCTCGTCTTCGTCGAACACCGTTTTCGACGTCCAAAGCACCAGGGTCGATGAGGAACACAGGTGGAACGATGTTGAAAGCAAGCTTTTTGGCATATCAAAGGAAGGTTCATGAAGCTTTCCGAACGGGTGAACTATGGGGATTTGTGGGGCTTCTCCACCTGGGCCCATCCTTTGGGGCCGGTTCAGGTGGTTTTGACACTCGGTCTTTGAAGACCTGGCCTTGGACGGTGAGGTGAAATCCCTGGAGAAGCGCGCTGGCGACTTGGTTCGTCCCGCCTGGCGACTTGAAACGTTGCGGACCGCGCGGACCGCTCCATGGTGGAGAATCGTGGGAACTGAACGGTGCGGGGAGTGACCGGTGCGTTTGCGGCGCTTGTGCCGCGCCAGGTAGTAATGACCTGAGAGGTGCTTTGCAAGTGTTTGGGACTCAGCTTTGATGCAGAGATTGCCAGTGATTGTGCCAAAAGAATCCAAAAGATGCACTTAATGTGTCAAAAGTAACTTTTGGCATCCATGAGATACACGTGTATGCACTGAGTGATGCAACATGTAAGATCACGTGCGATATGCCAAGCATATCCAAGCATTGCCAAGCAACATTTGCAGCAAGCATTTGCTGTGGCTTGGCATGCTGCTTTCGCTCCTAGGTATGAGGAATGCAAGGCACTCGTCCAAGATGCTCTTGAAGGCCTTCCGAAGGTGCAACGTGTTCTGTGCAAGTTCTGACTGTGGATGCGAATCCAAACTATTTGAGCTTATGAAAGGGTCGCATTAAACTTCAGAATGAGCCAGGACGACATTTGCTACTCCACACTGGTAGACAGCAAGCACAGCGTGGAAGAGAAGATTTCAAAGTGCAAGCCGCTTTCTTAGCTGCGTCAGTGCTAAGAGGTAGAGATGTCCATCAACGTAGTAATTAAGAAATAGATGGCAGCAATTGTTGACAGGCAGTTTCTGCCATTCGAGTACTTCCTGAAAGCGCCGAAGTGAAGCAGGTCTTTGACATCATTCTTCCATGCCTGATCATTCGCAAAGAATTGGCGACACTGGAGATGTTGGGTGAAAAGAGAGAGCACACGTGTCGATCCAAAGCGAGAGCACGAAAGCCCACCTCACACATCGTCTTTAGGTTTCTTTACGGTGATTCCTGCGAACACTTGACGGGTATTTTGGTCGGCATGATGCCTATGTATGCCTATATATAACCATATGTACTACTATATAGACTCATCAAGTTTGCTCTTGTATGTTGATGGGGTTTTGGAGTTGATTTCACTGTGATTTGTTTTGGGAGCTTTCCTTGGAAAAACCTCTCGTGTTTCTGCCTCAATGCGCTATGCTTTGCTTCTCAATGCCTTGGAGAGGATCCAGCGCATAACTAATTCGCCCATGAAGGGGACAAAGCCTCCTCTGGGTCCAGAGAGTGGTGGCACCTTCCTGGCAGCCTTCGAGTATTCGGACAAGCTCAACCAACAGGTGCTAAGTTTGGAGGCAGACAACGTAGAACTTCAAGATGGCAAGAAGTTGCTGGAGGCAGAGAATCAGGCCTTGAAGGCTGGGTCGGTGCCTGGCTTTGGCGGCTTTTGGTCCTTTTCGGAAAAGTGGATTGGAAAGGGGTAGATAATGCTTGCGATGGTATCAGCGGTATGTCATGTCATGTGATGTGATGCATGCGTTATTTATTTATTTGCTTGTTTGTAACGCTGTTTGAACTGTTTGTTTGAACACCAGAATAAACTTTAAGTTTTGGACTCTAGGATCGTTTTGGACTCTAGTTTTTGGGTTGCTCAGTCCACGGACTGCAAAACCCGAGGGGAAGATTGCAGAGTTGCAGCTGCAGTGTGAAAAGCTGAGAGACACCTCCATCCATACGCACCAAGACAAAGAGGCTGCAATCCTTCAAGCACGTGAAGCTTTACAGTCCAAGCAGGCTGAAGTGATGTTGGCACGGAAAGCTGAGGAAGATGTGAAGCAGCAAGTGGAAGCAATTTCGGAGGAGAACTTGCGCTTAAGTGGGATTGCAGAGAAATTGCAAGGAGAGCGTTCTCAACTGCACCGGACTTGCCTGGGATTGGAGGCAAGCATCAAGTCATGTCAGACGGAACTGGGCCAAAGGGCCAAGGCCGAGCAAGATGGCTTGAAATTACGAAATGCCTTGGAGCTTCGCTTGAACGACCTCTCCTTGCAGAACTTGGGCTTGCAATGATATTCAAGGTTTATATATATATATATACAACCAGGTTTTCCTTCCTGACTGTCTAGCCATTCTCAATTTCTATTCGTTCATCAGAGTTAACCCGGCAGGTTAGCTGCCGTTTCCTGCGTTCTTAAAAGCTTTCTTTCACCCATCAAGGAACAAGCGCCTCTCTGACATGGCCGGCTTCTACCGAGCCGACCTTGCGCAGCTGCAAGAGCTCCGGGAGGAGGTCTTGAAGGAACGCCACAAGAGCACGCGTTTAGCCGAAGACCTGGAGCATTCTCGGCGGGATGTGGTTTGGCTTCGAAGCTAGGCAGGTTCTTTTGGTGAATTTTCTGTGATGTATTTTCTTTTTCCAGAGCATAGCCTTTTTTGCGGCGAAGTGAACCTGTGTAAATTTAGATATTGCAATGTTGTACTTGTTGTACGGTATACCTTGGTAACCTTGATAGTGCTAAACAGTGTTCTTCGATCCTCTTAAGCGGTTCCTTCTTCCGCCTTCGATCGAGGACATCGTTTGGCCGAGCTGGACCAACGGAACAGCGAGATCTGGGCAGAGGTGGAGCACTGGCGCCATGCCGAGAAGGCGGCTACAGCTCACCACCCCAGGCAGGTCACAAGTTGGACACACAGATGAACATTGGATATATACTCTGTCTTGCCAGGGTGTCACGTCATTTGTCTAGAGTATAAATCATTTGAAATGCCTGGGGTCGCTTGATATACATATATATATATATACATACTCTCCCTCTAACAGGGAAGTGGACAATCCTTTGCTTGTAGACGAAAATGGTCTTGCAAGGCGCCATTTTCATGAATTGTCCAGTTCCATGTTAGTTCGGGAGTGTCTAGGCTATACACTATAAAAGTCTGTTGGAATTCCATTGCACGAATGCCATGGGAAGGCCATCTAACCAATCAGCTATATAGGACATGCTGTAGGATAATGTGACGCCGCTGCAATTCATTCTCAGTGAGATAGGGACCATAGGGATGAGCGGAATCCGTGTGATAGATCATGAGTGCCCTTGAAGCTTTTGCGCTTTGTGAGGTTGGAAGAGGCGATGAAGCGTGAGGCACACTTGAGCCTGCCATCATGTTTGTGTGTCAGACTTTGCTCCGCCTGAAAGCTGGTTTGCTTTGAAGAAACCGAACCGAAATACACGCACAGTTTGGTCTGAGTTCTTTTTGATTCGGGGGCACAATGAAGAATGACTCAATGACCAAGACCTGTTTTGCCCTGTCAGAGCGCTTTGGCTGATACTCTTCGCCAGCGCATCGCAGACCTTGAGGTGCGAGAGTTAAAGCGCAATGTCGAGTGAGTATTCCAGTCAGCTTGCTAATATATTTGTATAATATGTATATATATAGATATCATACGTATTTACATTATATGTATATAATATATTATGTATATATATATATATTATAATGTATAATATATATGTATACACATGTCAATATGTTTTTATCGTTCACTTCCAACATTTGCAGGTACTCAAGACATGAATGTTCTCGAAGCCGGAACTATGAACCACGGTATATCACGGTTATATTCTTAGTGTGATTCACCCAACAGAAAACATGTCATCTGTAATGTGCAGAACAATTCATTAATATGCTGGAAGTTTGACATTTCTCATCAGTTCTCGAATCAGTCAGTGTACTGCTAGGAGCAGGTGGCAAAAGCTCTCCACGCCCAAGCTGCTGCAGAGGTGTAGCGGCCATTTTCCCTCGTGTTCTACAAATCAAACATAGAAAACAGCACCGAACCCCAATTGATCAGATCCTGACAGTTCCCACGATATGGACATCGGGAGAGGACACGATTCAGATCCTCTTCTTTGAGCGGATAGGGCTTGTCGGTCCAGGCCGACTGCGCCGGCGCAAAATCGCAGCTGGCTAGCAGCCGTTCAGAGATTTCAAAGCTGGTGGGGTACTCATGACAGCCAGTGTGAGGGGAGGGCATGGTCAAATTGTTCGCGGTTCATCGGTAAATGGCTAAAAGCAATAAAGAACATCAACAGTCCATGTCCTTGCTGTGCAATAATCTTGACCAATTCTCGAACAATCCCTCACTGTCCCACAAATGGGTTTCAGCTACCCACAAAGGAAGTAATGAATTAAGATTGCAGCACTCCATTCCAAATTGCCAGACCTCATCAATGAACAAGGGCCGCCACTCAGAATGTTTCAGTTGGTTTCGGATATGGAAGATAGTTATCATAAATTGTTCGCTGGGCAGCTGATCAGATCACCCAGATCCGTCTCCGTCGTAAACTCGCGTCCTGAGGCCGATGCGGCTGCACGCTTGGCCGCGGAGAAGTCGCATGCCGAGCAGATGGCCTCCTTGGCCCATGCGGAGAAAGAGGAGGCGAGATCTTAGGGCTTTCGGATGCTTTCGGTTGAAAGAAGGACAGGTCGGAACAACCATAAGGCTAGGGTAATTATATATTATTGCTTCCCATGATATTTGCATTGTTGTTGTTGTTGTTGTTGTTGTTGTTGTTTTTGTACCTATATATCAACGGTCTTTGGAATGTGTTGTTGTACCTTTTTGTTGCCTTTTCTGCAAGGAAACGGCGTTTGGGAGAGTGAACAACCGTGGTTGTCATGCACGCAAAAATGATGCCACCAAGGAGACCTGGAAGTATCAAGACCAACTTAAACCAAATCTTCTTCAAGATGACCCGCATATTCTACGCTTTCCTGATCGATGCTCTTTATGTGCAGTTGGAATTGATTCTAGGTATTTTGTCCATTTTGCCAGGCTGCGGTGATAAAGCAATTCGTAGGTAGGATGTGGTGGGTTTCTAGTTTGTTTGCGTTATGGCCAACTTCTATACTTGCAATGTGAGTAATCTCACAGATGATTGGGAGAAGTTTTCATCCATACGAATCAAAGCTGAATCAAAGCCGATTCGATTCCTCCGATAGGTGTAACTATTTTGGTTCAAACATTCCCGGTTCAAACATGGACACTAGACTAGACTTGATGCCTGGCGTCGCCCTACCTTGCTTTGTCCAAGGACATTGAACAACTATTTCGGACCCGCAGTGGCCCTGCAGGCACATCGGAAGCACCATGTGCTGGAGAAGGAACACCTTCCTAAGCTGATGGCACAGCACCAGGCAGGTGGTTCAACATGGTTCACCTGTGTCCGCCACATCTCGCGGTCTGCTGCGCGGCCTGCAGGGTGCCAGGGTGCCGTGTTTTTGAACGCGCCAGGCGGCTGCCGGCAATGTGGGAGATCTGCGACATCGACTGGCACAGTTGGAAGGAGAGAACACGCTGCTCAAGGGCAAAGTCTCGGAAGCAGAGGCCACGTCCTGAACAGACGTGGGCTGGAGTCTGTAGCTTCTCACTTCACAGTGCAATGGCCTAGTGTAAGAATTTGTTAACATGCTTTCACTCGAGATAGCTTCTGCTCTCAGCCCGCCATTTGCTCTTTTGTGTGGATGTTTGGAAGATCCTTTTTGCTCATCGCAGGTGTTGATCAGAGGCTTAAGAGCTGAATGCTCCAAGCTGCCGGGCCGGCGGTCCCAGGGACCGCAGTGCCGGTCGAGGGTTCCTTTCGATTCAGATGAGGGTTCAATTCATCTTGGGATTTGGAGGAATCATCAGAGGAATCAGGTGAATGTTGTTGTTGCATACTGCAAACACTTCTTATTTTTCAGGTCGACATGCACGGGCCAGCTCTTCGTGGGGTACCCGGGACAGCGGAGCTTTGGGTCCTGCAGTTGATACCGTGCACAGCGACGGTTGCCCCAAGGACGCATGAAGCGCCAACCTCGGACTTGCAACGGTCGATTTCTGCAGTCCCCTGCTTACGGTGATCCTTTGCTTGCATTTGTCAGCTGGGCACATGGAAAGTACAAGTAGCTCATGACAGCCTGATTGGAAAGGCAACTCCCATCCATTTCATGCGACCTCGCTTTGAGGTTCATCCCAGCCCGTCTGAGGGTTATCCTTGCAGTCTCACGCCAATGGCCCCTTCGTTGATGCCAATGATGCATCCCATGTCAAAAATGAGGCACGGATGGACTCACATATGCTTTTAGTTTAAGAGGTTCTCCTTTTGGACTCTTGGACTGGACCAAGTCAAGCCTCCATGTCGGCCGGTCCGCAGAGAGTTCGCCCTTCTGCGCCGGTCCGCAGAACGTAGTGCTCAAGGGTCGGGACCAAAGTTTCAAGAGACCGCTGAGAGTCGCACGTCGCAAGCGATGTTCACACTATCAGGTGCGGGGGGAAGTGGGGGAGTGCGGCAGTCGCTCGAGGTATTCCTGCGAAGGTGTCGTGTGCTGAAGGTCGCCGGTGGACTTGTCAAGTCCGGTGTCTTCGCAAGTCCGCCAGGAGGTTTGCGCTCTTCGGTGCTGGGCTATGTACAAAATGTGCCGCATGCTGCTGCGCAGGCTGGGGGCAGTCTGGGGCCACATGGCCCTTATTGTCATAGTCTCGTTGATCGATGGGGAAGCATGGAGGGTTCTTGGGAGTACCTAGGAGGCAACTGGAGATGGTTTTTCGCTCGAGTGGATGTTTTGCTTTCGTTCTAAAATTCCAAGTGAGTGCGTATTTCCCAAAAGCGCGACATCCCAAAGATCTGAAAAAATCCGACCATGGCCGAACGTTTGGCTCGAAACCCGAGGCAAGGCCTGAAGAAAGCAAGCCAGAGATGTCCCGTTCTGAGAGTCTGGATGGAGCGCAGGGATGCACAACGGGCCGGGGTGTACTGGATGGGCGGCCTCAGAAGTGGGGTTGAGAGGCATGCAGCGATGCACTTGTTACTACTAGCGTCCTTGTTGCTACTAGTAAGGCACTTGTTACTAGTAGCGATGCACTTGTTACTACTAGCTTCTTGATGCATGAATTCGATTCACTTCACTTATTGCTTTCAGAGATGCGTCAATTGTGATAGCATGAGTCCTCGACTGCATTCTTTTTCGTTGGTGCAGAGTGTAGAGGCGATGGACAGTTGGAGAGTGGGATTTTTCGCTGTCGGATACCTTTGGATCTTTGGTTCATTGAGACATGTTGAGACTGTATGATTCGGAAGACATGCCGCCGGTTGAAAGTTCTCATGGTCCAGAGAAAGACCCCGCGTGGTCTTGACCACCTGGCAGCTTGAAGATCTTGAGGGGCCATTGCTCCACATGTGCAGCACCCTTCCTTTGAACGGCACGATAGTCATCGATCCATAACGCAGGAGCTTACCAGATTGGTGCGCAGAGGTCCGTTTTGTGTTCCACCTGTTTTCATGGATTAGAACATAATCGAAATTGAGTGCTGAATGCTTGGTGCTTATGATTCTGTTGGTGTCAGTGTGCAGATAGATTGGCAATCAAAAAAGCTAGCAGCTAGCATCAGGAGTGAAGAACCCCACTATGTCAATACAGAGAAAGCAGACCAGCCGCTGAGCATGGCCGAATGATGAGTAAGTAGGCACAACTTTGCACAGCAGCAGGCGCAGCACTTCCTTGCTGGGGATGGTGATGCTTGGCCTTAATGTGCAGGTTTGGAGGGGGATGTCTTGAATTTCTGCCCCAGTACACACACTTAGTCACAGGGTTCATCCAGTACAGTCCCCGAGGAAATGAGTGACTGAACGGAAAGGTGAAAAGTCCAAGCACTTGAAGGTGTTTGAAAATTGTTTTGCACATCTGCTGGAAACAGCGGTGGCTCAGAAAGCAGCTGCAGAATGCGGCGGAAACGGGCGCAAGTCTGCGGACCTACCTCGACCTAACCAGCCTGGAAGGCTAGAGAGGATCGTAGTTACAACACGTCACGAAAATGTTGCAGGTACATGGTTGAGCGTCCTCAACCACTTCCCTTCCAGTGACCCAGCTTCGTTGGATCAGGGTAGTCACTGGAAGCCTGATGCCCCTGCGTCAATGTTTGGGGAAAAACACAGAACTCTTGGAAGCAGAGTGTGGCACACACACACACACAAGCAGTTGCTTTCAAGAACAATTTGTGTTTGCTATTGGACCGCCGGTCGGCGTTTGGAGCTCTGTGTGATTGTCTTGCTGACTTGTCCCAATCATTCACTTCGATCGTGACTTAACCCCACCTGGAAGTATTGAAGTAACACTCCACCACCACAAAATGGATTAACACATGAGTCCAACGTCGGACATCGTCGGAGTCCGGTTCTCTGGTCTGGCTGGTCTGGCTCCGCAAAGCAACCGCGCCGCTCCCGAGGAGCCCCGAGGACCGGAAGCCCTCGGTGGATGGATGGACCGAGGACTTCGACCGACCTGGACCCAGCTTCAAAATCGGTTGCCGTCGGAAGGCGCCCCCGGTCGGACCGACCCGTCGGACGGAGCTCGGTGGACTGGGGCACCTGGCTAGAGTGGCGTTGGCGCTAACAAGAAGAAAGTCCGTTCCACCGGCCACTCATGGGGCCGGGTGGGTGTAACAAAAACGGGGGGGGTGGCATTTACTTGGAGGTCCAGAGGGCTGGCGGGGAAGGGCCGTGGAAGGCCGTGACCCGGGGGCGCGGAAGGAAGGAATGGGTGACGGATGGTGACGCACCGATTCCGTCGATTCCCAGTGATCCTTCTGCTGGCCATCCTCCATCAATTGAGACCCAAGGGTCCAAGGGGCATTACAACGAAGGATGAAGAGATCATGAAGTCGTCCAAATTTTTGGTGCTCCAAACGGCAAACAACGTGAGTGTCCGTTTTCTTCCACGCATTTGACAAACACCATCGGAGTGGAACCGCAACACCTTAGTCCCGCTTGTGCCTGACAGGCGGTGGCCCTCCTGTAGGAGCTGCCTTGGCTGAGGGGCCCAGCCTCTCACGTAGTATAGGAGCATCAATTTGGATGCTCAAAGGCCATCTCCTTGGCTGAGTTCGGAGCTTATCTCGCACATTGATGCATTTTGTGCACAGTTTTCTGACCCGCTTCTTTCAACGACATGTTTCGGCGGGCCAGTTCGGTCCAAAGGAATTGATGTTTGGAACCACAAGATGCATCTCTTTGCCTCTAAGCGGGGTAATATCATTTGATACGTACAGCCGCTCGATCACGGGGCACAGGACAACTAACTCGTGGCCGAACGGAGCATGAACAGAGACGAAGTGAGTTCCTTGCAAAGGAAGCTGAGCTGTGGGAAACATGCATGGAGGATCATGGAGGTGGTTTTAAGACTGGACTCAAAATCGATAGTTGTGTGATGTCGTGTGCCATAATTATGCCATGCAGTCTGCACAACTCAGAGTACCGATGTTGAAAACTGTACAGATGAATCAAGTGGGCCTCTGCCGTTTAAGGCACTGCGCAAAGGCCATGTGACAGGTCCGCAGCAGACTCGCTTGGATACATAATACATTCATCTGGAAAAGATGTGCTGAGCATGGGAGGCCACAAACTCCCATGAGTCCACATTGTGTCTCTTGCCCAGCAACTGAGAGGGGCTAGGAATGCAGCAGTTCTTTCGGAAAGCTCAATTCTGCGATGCTCGAGGTCGAAAAGCACACTGGAAACATGGTTGCATAAACCCTCTTACTTCACACCATGTCAGTTCTAGGTTCTTGGAAGATGGCTTCAGTGTTCATTCTACTTCACAGGTTCTGAATTCTGAATGTTCCTAGAATCCAATGTGAAAACACCTAGCAGCTATACCGTTTAATCCTTTACGCGGGCCCCGCTAGGGCTGATGCTATGGATTTGTTATCAGCATCTGCGGCATTCACAAAGTTTGAACGCCATTGCTTAGAAGAACTTCTGCAAGGTGTAGAACACGACGATGCACAAGCTTTGGTGCTGGAACAATGGGAGTCGATGGATGAAGAGGCCAAATCCAAATGGGTAGAGAATGAAGCGCCAGTTGAAGCACCACACTCTGTGGATGCCTTTGAACCTCTTCATTTGGGGAACGAGACCAGTGAGGTCACTGTGATCGACGAGGTGCTCGAAGATGCTGCACTGGCGCCCGCGGAGCCCGTTAGCGCCCGCGGCCCGGCGCCCCGCCGGCGCAAGCGCTCGGCCGTCGCCCCGGCGCCGCGGAAGGCGCCGCGCGCGTCCGAGGCGGCCGTGGAGGTCGCAGCGGCAGCGGGGGAAGGGATCCGCTGGTTAAAGCCTGGTGAAGCAAGTCTCGAAGAGTCCAGTGATGAGGACTCAGAGGACCACGATGAAGAGGACCAGGCCGACCAAGAATCGAAGCAGCTTGCTTTCAACAGATCTGCAGTGGTGAGACAAGGTGGCAAACATCCGGACTGGCTCACCGAGCCTGCAGCTGTGGCGGAAATTTCACTTCCGCCGTTGTCTCCAGATGAAGTTGTATATCTGCCTGCTGAGGTGGCTGAAAAGCGCTTGCTCAGCAGTCCTCAGTTGGAAAGCGTGGCTTATGCTGCGCGAAGATTCCGTGCTCATCTGCCATCCGGAGTGCGAGCTGGCTATTACCTTGGAGACGGTACTGGGTGTGGAAAGGGTCGCGTCATTGCAGCTTTGGTTTGGCATTTGTGGAACAGTGGAGCCAAACGGCATGTCTGGCTCAGTGCCAGCAGCGACCTCCTAGAGGATGCCACGAGAGACTTTTGTGACCTGGGAGCCGACTTGCCCCTCTGCACCTTGTCATCGCTACCATATGGTTCCATCAGCACTGGCCCAGGCCTGGATGAAGAAGGGAATGGCATCATCTTTGCCAGTTACCACTTGCTGGTCGCCAGCAAGGCTTCAGCATCTGGAGTCCCAACGTCTGAGAATTCGCGCTTAGTACAGCTCATTGATTGGTTGAGAAGAGGGAAAGGGGGTGCCTGTGGCCTCATTGCCTTGGACGAAGCTCACCGGACGAAGAACGTGATGAATTCAAAAACAAGTCAAGGCTCTAAATCCGGGCTGTGTGCCCTGGAGTTGCAACGAGCCTGCCCCCTGGCTGCAGTGCTTTATGCCAGCGCGACCGGCGCGACTGAACTGAGACACTTGGGTTACTTAGAACGTTTAGGACTTTGGGGGCGAGGACGGCCCCATGGAAGCTTTGAAGAGCTTCGAGATGCGGTGGAAGGTGGAGGATTCGCTGCGATGGAGCTTTTGGCCATGACGATGCGTGCAGAGGGGATGCTGTCCTGCCGCTCCTTATCCTTCAAGGGCGCCTCCTTCCGACTAGTTCCGGTGAGCTTGGAAAGCCTCTGCAACACTTACTCCAAAGCTTGTGACTTCTGGCAGGAGAGCTTGAAGCTGATTTTGAGGTTGCTGAAGGCCAAAACACGGGAGGTGAAGCAGAAAAGACTCAAGCACTCCACTGAGCTCAAGGAAAACCCTCTACATCTGAGATATTTCTGGGGCGCCCAGCAGCAGTTCTTCCGCCAGTTGCTCATTTGCACAAAAGTTGAGACTGCCGTCTCCTTGGCCACCTCCGCGCAACTCAGGCCGCCCACCTGGCACTTGAAACGATCGGCCATCACTTGATGAGCTTTCGTTCTTCTTCGAAACCATGTTTTGTTCTGCTTAACACTGTTTAGGGCAAGGATGTCTTAAACCAGCGTGCACCACGCTCACGCTCCTACCGTACCCCGGACTCCTTTGATCCTTTTTGCACACAAATTGCATTTAGTTTTGCTGGTTGCTTGACATATGACATTTTTGCAATGTGTCCTGACTATACTGCATACTATGTATTATTACATTACATTCTATACTGTCACTTATATAGCATTAAGATTATATATAGTAACTATAGATCTTTTACGTACAACAGGGTCCTTTGGTCATCAAAAAGCACCCCTAAACCACCCCCAAAGCATCGCAACTCCCCCACCCGCCATTCCTTCCTTCTTTCCTTTGCGCAGGGGCGAGTCGGTGGTCTTCGCCATGTGGTCCACCGGTGAGGCGATCACCGAGGCCGTGGCGAACCGCGAGGGCGACCGTGCGGCGGCCGCCGCCGGCTTCGCCTCCGCGCCCAAGGAGGCGCGGCGCGGCGCACGAGCCACATGTGCAACGTTGTCCACATGTGGAAACGGCGATTGGGTGGAGCTTTTGGTGTTGGGAAGGTCCAGATGTTGTGCGATTCATGTCGGGCGCGGCATGGGTCGTCTGTGCCGCACGTGTGGATCTGCAGGTCGCCTTGCGGATGCTGAAAGAGTTGAGGATGGGAGCGAGAGCTGCACTGTTTCACGCAAAAAACATTTTTTCAATGTTTCATTTTTTGCAACTCATGAGTCTTGGCAATCACCTTGAAGGCTAAAAAGAACACCGAAATCTCCAATGATCTCGAGAAGTTTCTCGGGCATTCAGGCGAGTTACGGAAGATCGGGACCATTCGTTGTCAGGAACTTGGCTGCCTCCCTCGAATCGGAGCAGGGTGCCCTCAAGGATGGCTGACGCCAGCAGCTTCGCGGGTTTTGACACGAATGCAGTAGCTTTCGGCGTACACGAATGTGTCCGTTTCTTTTATTTCGTGACTCAGCGTATCAAGTTGAATGCTTCATGGAAACCAGCAACTACGTAAGTGACTGGTGTTCTTTTCGTCTCTTTCAGATGTTCTTGAAATTGATTGTCACGCAGGAAATTGATCGGGCTGAACAGACCTTGGAGAAGTGGGCAACTTGATTTCCAGATCCGCAGAGTCTGATTTGAGGATAAGGTCATGCTCACGACTTGTGCAAAGAATAATCGTAGTACAGGATAGATCTTGTCAGAAAGGGGTCCGACTCAGAGGAGAGAGAAAGGATGCAGGTACTCGTAGTACATGAGTGAATGCTGCCATTCAGGTTGGAGTTGCCTCCCAATCCTTTGGATGATATCATGAAGCGATTGGGCGGTCCTCATAAGGCATCTAGATCCTGAGTCGGGCATGAGACATCCGATCATCCGGAGATTAAGCTGAGATCATTTCTTGCAGACAAACGTGTTTGATGGGATCCAAACTCAGTTGCAGGCGTGCTGCGCCTGATTCTACATTTTGACTTGTGCTCAAGCTTCCATTCGACTTTTTTTCTCGGTTCATCTTCCTAGTCGACCAAAATAATGACCACTAGCCACTAGTCAACCGTAAACTCAATTCATCCTGCTGAACTGCTGAACTCTTCTTGCGTAGGTGGCTGAGCTCACTGGCCGCACACGGCGGCTGGTCTACAACGAGCTCACGGGCGAGACACGCTTCGAGGAACGCGGTGAGGGTGCCAATCTCCAGGAGAGGAGACGGCGCAGCCAGCGCGCAAAATCTGGTACAGTTCCTAAGCCGGAAGCGTCGGTTTGTCTGTTGGCCATGGGTGATTTTCTCGTTGCACCATGACCCAAACACTATATAAATGGCCCGCTCAAGATTGTAGGAGAAGCAGGACGTTTCCAAGTGACTTGCTAAAGTTTTAAACGGGTTAAGGATGACATCTGCTGGGTTTGGGTAGCTTGCAGCAGATACATGTGTGAAGCTTTCGCTCTTTTTCCTGCAGGCCTGCAGCCTGCAAGCAAGTTGTTCATTTTACATGTCCAATCCCTTCTTGTTCCAACTTGGAACACGCTGCTCCCTGGTCTCTGGAAGTTTCGAGGTTTACCTCGGGAATTCATCCTTGGTTCCAAGGTCTTAAGGAATCTGGGGGAGTTCGCATGGGACTGCAGGCTTTAGATCGTTTGGTTATCTGTTTAAATTGCACCCAGTAGGTTTGGATGGTACTGATGGTCCCCGATTTTGGAGCTATGCCCTCATGATGATTCCTGTTGAGCATACATATGAACTTCCCTAGCTAGGAGTTGCGAGCATTCCAGACCGGGCAAAAGCACGTGGCCATCGTCACCGAGGCTGGGTCAGTGGAATTTCCCCATCATGCTTGTTTTTTGCAGGCATGGGGTCATGCTGAAAACCACCACTTAGGTCTGTTAGGTCTGTTGGTTTTGAAGCTTTAAATGTTTTTGTTGACCAGGTTTCAGCATGTGAACATCCTTGATATGCAAGAACGTCACAGCGTGCGTCATATGCTCGCACAGCACTCAGGCGGCCAGTGCCGGAATCAGCCTCCATTGCGACAGGCTGGCAATATTCTCGGTGAAGCACCGCGCTTGCGCATGGGTTTTTAATGTGGGCTGCGTGTAGCCGCACGGAAGATGCACAGGCGCTTGCCTGAAGATGCACAGAGGCCTGCAACCGTGCTGCAACCGTGCTTTGGCTTACATTCAAATTTGATTTTATTCAGATTTGTTTGTACTAGGCCGCGGTACATGATCTCAATAGAGATGCCATGGGAGGCAGGGTATGTCCAGACAGCTTTGCAGCTTTGCTTGATTCACCTTCACCAGCTGGAGCTTTCCTGCCGTGGTGTGTCGGGCTCTGGAAGCCAAGTATGTGCATAAAGATTTAGATACACAGTGAATGTCTCAGAATGAATGCCAATGTCCCAAAGCTAGAGCTATCATTTTGTCCAGCAAAGTTCAATTGGACTGCCATCACATTGGACATTTAAGATGTGACGACAGAGTCGCCGAATGTTACCCCGCCCTTGTAGAGGAAAAAACATGAATCCCTTTCCGACCTAACATTCACCAATATTCACGCTATTCACGAAGCCCAGCGACAGAATTGGATTTAGAGAAATGGCCAACAGCGACACGCGACCTTTCACTCGATCAAAACACACAGCGACACGCGACTTGGAGTCGTCGCCCATGGCGACTTGGCAGACCCTTCGGAGGTTGCGGCACCGTGACTTACTTCTGGGAAGTCTTCTCAGAGTGTTCGAGCGCGATCAGCTGGAAATTGAGACGCACAAATACGGTTTTGGTCTTTGGTAGGTCGCACGCAGTCTTGTTCAAGGAGTTGTGAAATTTGAAATTGACTGTCCATACTTCAAGTTTTCTTGGATATTCTACTGGCATGTGCTCATTTGCTTGTGTTCCTAGGAATGCAAAGTGCTACAATCGAAAGCCTTTCAGCCTCATTTGAATCGATGGGCCGAGCTCCTGATAGCAGAGGGTGGGCACGGAGCAAAGGTGGACCCACATGACGTGCCGTCTGAGATTCTGCAGAACGCTCAAAGCAGTTCAGCAGAAGTCAGGTGCGGCAATGCCGAAAGTCGCTTTGGCAATGCCTGCTTTTGTGTAGAGGAGTCCTTGTCATTGAACACATTCCCCTTTTGTCACAAGATTTGGGCAGATCATGGTAAACCCTGTCATTGAAAGACCTCCCCAAACCATTGACCAAAGCTTCCCAAAGTGAGCGATCGCAGACCAGGTGGCTTCTGCGGCGTTTGACCAGTCGAGTCTCGCATCATCGAGGTCCTCCACATTTCCCATCAGTGCTTCAGCAACGTGGACCTCAGTATCCCTTCCAACCCTTTGAACTCACTTACCTCCGTTCGGTGGTTGGGAGCATCCGAGGGACTGAGCTAACGCAGAAGATCAACCTGCCGGAAGTGTCTGAGGAAGCAAACGCTGAAGCGATGAAGGCCCAGCAAGGACGAGCTCCGAGAGATCTCTGGGCTGAAGGATGCCTGGATGATGATGATTTCACCGACCACACGAAGCCGCCCAAATGAGGGACTAAGAAGCAGACGAAACAGATGAAACAGAAAAGGTGCTCATGCAGGGATCAAATGGTTGTTTTTAAAGCAGTGCTGGCTGGTTCTCATGATAGGGTCACCTTTTTTTGACTTTTGACACCCATGAGCAGCTTCTCGTCCCATATTGGAGTCTTTTTTCAACAACCAAAGTTCAGCTCTAAGCTGTTGAAAGTCCATGGCTACAATATGCTACAATCATCGGTGCCAGTGCGCCAGGTTTGTTCACATTGATTTCCAGAGCCGAGAGAACACCACACGACACGCGGGAGAGCAGGGTTGATTTATGTTGATTTCTTGATTACTTCGTGTGGGGAAACAATCCCTTAGATCCAGATTTCCCACCAGGTGAAGAAGACTTGGAGAGACAGGGAAAGACTTTCAACCGATGCCTCGGTCCACAGACCCACGTCTCGGCGCAACCGTCCAGGCCGACAAGGCCTTGCAGCAGCTCGGCCGCGTCCACCGCAGCAACCAGCGGGTGACCGAAGAGCGGGTGTGGCTTCATGGGGAGCAGACAGAAATTCTTGGTCATGTCAGTGGGCAGAAGACATGGTTTGAAGAACTGAATTCCTGGAATTTCCATGGATTTCCTGCATCTTGGTCCCTCCTCAGGCCCTACTCTGACTAAGAATATTGCCATTCTCTTTTCTTGGGCTTTCGTTTAAGGTTCGGTCAAGTGTTCTCTCGAGGTACCCCCGCGCTTTGCCTTCGTGGTGACGGATTTGGGTGGAGAGGCCGTCATTTTTGGGGAGACTGGAGTGCACGGACGGGATGGGACTGGATGGGAGACTCCAATGACTTCCTTTCTCAAGGACTCAAGCTGAACCCAAAACACTCCTGCAACGCCTGCTGTCTCACTCAAGTGTTTTCGCGGAGTGACATCCAAATGATGGGGATCAAAGGGCGTGAAGTTGTTTGAAGTGGATCATGTTCAGCTGATGTTCTGGTTGAAGTAAGTGTTAAAACTAAACTTTGGAGGTGGTTAGGCTAGGAAAGTCCAGTGTGGGGAAAATCATGGACACTGTTTGCGACGGAGAATTGACTTGATTTGAATGAAGTTATATAGCACTGTGAGCAGAATGGAGTGAGGGAGCAGGTGGAATGGAGGAAGCGAGGTGAAGAGAGAAGAAGCCACGGAAGCATCGAACATCATTAAACTATTCCTGGCCCGAGACTAAATCAAGAATACATTGAATCCCAAACAACCAGTGTTTTACTATCTTTTACTAAGGGTTTTTTGATTGCAAAGCCAGGTCAACCATTTTTTAATTATATATTATATATCTATATAGTCTTGGAAGGCTAGTGCTAGGGCGGCTAGGGTATATATATATATAGTTGTGCTATGTTGTGTTCATTGGTTGGCTCCGCCTCAAGAGGTCTCCAAGATCTCCAAGCCACTCCCCGTCGCTTTGGCACTCAAGATCTTGAGCAACTCAAAGGTGGTTGCACATGTTGTGGAAGCCCGGACATCAATCATTGACATATGCCAACCATTTACAGACGGTCTGCGATCGTCTGTCTAGTGGCGCTTCTCTGGGTTCCGAGGAGGCGCTTATTCACCTCGCTCCGAACGTCTCCACCAGCAAACGTTGCACCACTGACACCGCAGCAGGTGAAGGATGGCGCATATGCAGAGTTTGTTGAGTCCTGGATCACCCGCAAGCGCCACAATCAACTGATGTGGTTGCCATCTTCAAGTTCGACATTGGGTCCATTGAGTCCATTGGGTGGTTTGGTTTCCTTGATGATTGTAGTTGGGGACTCTTATGCAGATGATATAGACATGGGCTTCCAATGTTGGCCCACGCAATTGAGCAAGGCTTTGCATGCTCCAGTGCTGAATGTCGCCCGTGGCGGATCTGAGTCTAGTCACATTCACTCGCAGCTCGAACGGGCGCACCTGTGGACGAAAGAGCAGCAGCTACAGGTCAATCTGAGCGAGGTTCTTCTTGTTCTCCACACCGGTGGCAATGATGCGCTACATTCTTTGCTGAAGCCCTGGATGTTTGTATCGCTCATCAGTGACTTGTATTCCCTTCGGTCTGAGGCAGTCGAAAAGAAATCGGTGGAGCTCAGCTTTCCCAAGAAGTTGTCAATCGTGATCTTAAGAGAGGTAGATGAGTTTTTGGAGAGGGCAGCGGCTTTGGGCCATCGGAAGGTGGTGATCAGCACCCTCCCCATTGTGTCGTCTCTTCCTTTGGCGCGGCTGCTAGTTCATGTGTTGGTTCCAGGAGCTGATCCCGGCTTTGTGACAGAGACCCTGGAAGCGGTGGGTGGCAGCATCAATCGGCATCTCCAGGAGCAATGTGTGGTTTTAGCCCAGAAGCACGGAGTAGAAGCCTGGATTTTTCAAGAGGGTGACTCCTTGGATAGCTTGGCAAAAGGAGCAGAGGCTGCGACACATGGAGTCTTTTCGGCCGTGAAATTGGCATTGAAGCGCATTCGTCGAATCATTTGGGCCCTCGCGTCGCAAGAGAGCCTTGACGGCCATGAGTTTTGGCATGATGGTCATCATCCTGCTGCTCGGGCCCACGAACAGCTGGCAGCTGAAGTTCTAGAACTCTTGACGACGGCACCTATCTCAAGCCAAACAATTGCGTGTTCGTTTGACAAGCTGTTCAGACCACCCCTGTTTTTAGCTCAAATGGGAAAGACATATTGGAATGGAATGTTCTTGTCAGCAGGTCGATGCCACCCCACAATTGTTTTCCAGTTGTTGCAATAGGTGCCATGGGGTCCATCACCATCCATCAGGATCTGCATCGGCTCCCCTTGGGAAGAGAGCTGCATCGGAACGGACAACACACACCCCTCAACACACAGTTCCTCACCTGGGATGCAACCCCCCCTCCCACTTATGCCCGGCCAGGTTCGCTTTGTCTCCACCGTGGCGCGACGCTTGCGGATCCTGGGAGCTTGGGTGCCCGGTCTGACCGGTCTGTGATTCGTGTGTGACGCGTGGTGGTTGGAGTGCTTTGAAAGTTCCCTTCATTTTCAGACAATCGGCAAGCCCCAAGAAATCAAGTCCAATCATTGGAAAGGAATGAATTATAGTTATAGATAGTTACAGGATGTTATAGGCACATGGGTAAACTTTGCCACGCATGCGACCATGGACAATGTTGGAGCTGCTCATGTTCGCTGATGTTTCTCTCGTATATAGTTCTTTTGGACTACATATAACTATAATTGGTCCCAGAAACAAGCTGGAAGCGGCAAGGGTCTTTTGCAAAATGTCTTCCGACTTCAGCCTAACTCGCAGCAAAAGTTTTGTGTTGGAAAGTCTACGTTGCCTTTGAATCAGGTGGACAGCATAGCAGCATGTGCGCGCTATACTTCCAGTCACCATGTTTACCCCTGGCCAATGAGGCCATGATGAGGGGCGACCGCAATTCAGCACATGGGGCCGTACAAAGCTTGGCGACCTTCGACATCCAAAACCGCTGCTGGGTGGCAATCTCCTGGCCGGACAGGTTGAGTAATCATATGTGATAATATTTTGTGTTACTGTAGTCTGCTCTTGAAGCAACTTTTTTGTGGATGTATCTGCTGTGATAAATAAACCTTTACTCCAAACAAGAATGTTCTTAGAAGCCTCATCAGCTGGGAATGCCAAACACCAAGGTTTTCTTGAATGAGAAGGCTTTCTGAATCTCCTGAAGCCCAGGCTATGGACGGCAGGCATTGGCACGCCTCTTTGAGCTACTTCGCAGTGGGCAGGAACCAGAGGCACCTTCTGGACTGGCACAGGAACGTTCACAGCTCAGGCTCTTCTTACTTTTATATAAGTTCATGTTTTCTTTGTTTCTAATAGCAATGGCCTCCACCCCAGATATTTTGGAAGGATACTTCACAGCTTCTCCAGGGATGTTTTTGCTCCGGGCTTTTTCCGTCCTCGTCCAGAACGCCTCGGTCAAAGCTTTCACTCCTTTTGAGGTAACCCATGATCAATCAGTCTCCAATCGAAGGTTCTTGAAATTACAATCAGGTTGATCAGTTTGCATCGAGAAACTGCTCAAATCCACTGGTAACAAACTGGTCACAAAAGAATAAACTGAACCAAATCCTTGGGTGCGCCGTTGCTGTTCTGATTCATGTCCAAGGATCATTTTTGTGTCATCAAGAGATGTCCCGTTCTCTTGGAACACCTGGCAAGCCCCCCATGCCAACTCATTATCATCACTTTTCATTATCCGTATCCCTTCCCATTTTGAAGCCTCAACAGGTTCACCTTTAGTTCAGTAGTGTACCCCCCAAGCTGTGCACACAAGCACAGTGCACACACGAACCACGTCGATGGGAAGGTGGCCTTCTCTTTTCTTCAATTCAGCGACCGAAAGAGCAAGGGCAGCAGCTGGCGAAGCTGGGATCTCAGTCACTGCGTGTCAACACCCAAGAACAAACCAAGAAATGGTTGCTGGAATGAGCATAGCCATGCCAGGCAAGTGGAAGAAACGACCACTTACTCGTTCAGTATACGTTGCCAGTGGGCAATGTGTCATATTCTCGATACGAAGTGGAGATTATGATGTTGCTGGTTTTCCCCCGTATCAAAGCTGATGTCAGACAGGCTGGGCCGACTTCAAGAAGATCGCCCTGAAGGAGGGGCTCCTACACAACCCGCGGTCCATCCACTGATTCGACCAGACCAGCCGGTGATCGGTGCATGCGACCGGATCGATTTGTGAAGCTGCTTGGATCACCGGTGGCCCTACTGTTGTAATTAAGTAAGCGCATGTGACATGTTTTTTAGTTGGTAAGTATGTTTGGACAGGGCGGTCTGACCCGACACCTGTGGCCACAGGGATTGTTCCTTCATTTTCCCTCCAGTTGCTGGCATTGGAGTGGTCAAATCTTGGTTTCCTTGCAGGTATATTCCTACACCGTTGATCCCAGAAAGACCAGCTTATCCATAGGTATGGTTCAAACATGCAAGACTCTTACCAGTCCGTCAAGGACTAAAAAATCATTCGGACAAGTTAGTTCCACCAATCAGACCAGTTGGTTCCTAAACCGAAACATACATCCAATGGATGCCATTCACATTAATGTTTGTTCAATGAACCCGAGAAAAAAAGACACCCCACTGCGGCACCCAGCGCCTGCACCTCGCCTCCCTCGCGCCGCCGAAAAGCGGCCCGTCGAGGCCTTGGACTTGATCGGCTTGCGACCGGACACCGAAGACAAATACGAGGCGAAGATGTCCGATGACCATGACGATGTCAGTGACGACATGGCCAGACGGACCATTTGATGCAAACATCCGATGAATCCGATTGAATATGATTGAATCCTACACCAGATCAAACAGTTTACAGTACTTGTTTTTAATGAACAGATCCAGTTTGCACAAATTTGCACAACTTGTTTAGTGAGTCCCTTCAGTGTCGTGTATTTTTTTGGGAATTGGGCACCAGGGACCAGGTGGTGATACACTGATACCATAAGACTCTGGTATTAGGGTTTCGATCAGAACAAATTGCATGGCTTTGGCTCCAAAGTCAAGGGTTTTCAGGAAAAGCATGCGCTGAGTGTAGGTCATTTCATCTATCAATCAGATCTATCAAATGGGGTGTGTATTATACAATAAACGTATATTACTGGACGCTTTTTGAACCATACCCTAATGTGTTCGCTGGAGGAGTCTTTGGCGGAATCGAAGAACTTGAACGTTTTCCTCAACAGGCTGGAAACAGTGAATCAGTCGGTGAACTGAACAGATCGAAGGAACCTGAGGCATTGCGGGCGCCGGAGGTTTGCTTCTTTCTTTTTCCGGGGTCTAAAGGTCGTGGACTTTTTCCCCGGCGCATTGATCTGCAGGTTGCTGATGCTGGAGCCTAGCATTCAAAACGCCTTGTTTGATGCCGTGGCGGAGTTGTACATGCACTTGGTTGGTGCTGGCCTTATTTGGCTGTCCTAGTAGCTGGCTGGGCTTCGGGATGAGCAAGTGAGTAGTGGCTATATGTGAAGCTTTGGGAATAGGCAAACGAGCCGCGATTCTGAGAAGCAAGGCCCCTGATGCATAAGCATGATCCACCGGACTCAAACAAGGTGTTTCTTCAATGTCAAGTATATATATAATATAGCTCGAGATGTTTCAAGAGAATTGTGGATCCAATACAGCTATGGTGCCACACCCATCTCAGCTGAGACCTGGACCGGGCCTCTGGGGCGTACGATGGCGGCCCAGAAATCCTGGATCGGAGGCCGAGCATGTTTTGGGGATGGACGCCAGCTGTGCTGAAGCTGGCACAGGCTGTGCTTGAAATGGCCTTGTCAGGCGAGGTACCAAAGCAGAAGCCGGGGCTCTTGGTACCAGGCAGCTTGAAGAGGCTGAGCTATCTGAGCTGAGAACCAAGCAATGAGACCTCTCAAGTCCTGGACCAAATTCTTCATCAATAGCATTCGACAACTAGCAGCACTTGAATCCAGGAATCCCCTGGACCCCAATCAAAAGTTCCATCGAATCCCTTGGTTTTGTCATGTGCAGTTGATCATGTTGGAAGTTGGCACTCTGATGCTTCCTTCAGTAAAACGCAAGAACCGGCCGAGGTTCGTCTTGTTCATCGGGAGGTGCGCTGATCAATCGGGTTGGAAGGGATGTTGAATGTTTTGTCCACCCTCTGATCGAGGATTCAAGAGATTAGGACGCACAAAGAGTGCAAGGGTGACATACATTTGAAAACACATATTGTTGATACAGTAGACAAGTGTCCGACTTCTCATTGCCTTCCTGGACCTGTGGCTTCACAGGTCCTCTTCAAGGATCCAGTTACAGGAGCCGAAACGGCAGCTCGGACAGCAACACGTCGACCCAATGGCGTCCTTCATCTCTGGAACCTGAGCCTCAATGGGTTGCTCAGTACTGCTTCTTGAAGTAGATCACCCACCTCCAGTAGATTAGATCCACCACTACCACTGTCTTATCCAACCCTTCGCTGCCGCGGCATTTTAGGATACTTTTGGTGGCCCGGCCAAGGCCTATGCCCGGCTCCAACTGGATCGCGGCATGAGCTGGGAGAAAGCCAACGAGGTGCTGGAGAGCCGTCAGCGCGGCCGAGCAGGCTTCTATTGGAGACTTGGCGAAGAGATCGAGCATGATGGGGGCCATCCCTGATCAGACTAAGGGGGAGGTCTAGATGACGACAGAAAGGTCAAACTGACTCTAGTGGTCGGACTCTTAGCACCCTACGTACAATAAGTGGCATCCTGATGTTAATCCATTTTGGTGATCCACCTGCAGCGATTGCAAGTGAGGTGCCCACGCGCTCCCAGTCCATTGGTCCTTGCTGTTCCTCGGCCTCGCTTGCATGGGCTTCGTGCTGGTGCAGCCTCTGATGATGATGAGAGTGATGCGGATTTAGATCTTCATTGGCCCCAGGGGCCACCCGCAGAACATGGCTGGGAGCAACACGTCTCTTCCGCCAAGCTGAGGAAAGGCGACTTTTTCCACAAAGCTGGTGCAGATGAGCTCCCCAACGTGTCGACCATCTGGAAGCGTTTACATGGGTCTTCTGCAGATCTGGCTGGAAGATGGGAAGATGAGCATGTCTTGACCGGCTCCATTTTAAGCACTTGGGCTGTTCTCGGCACAGCCATCAGCGGAGCCAGCACTTATTCAAGACTCAAAGTGCAAAGGATCCCTTTAGTCAGGGCCAAGCTTCCTGATGGTGGAGCGATCGTTGGAGTCCGTGTCCGTCATGAGAGGTTGCAAGAGGTGAGGTATGTTCTCTCAGCACTGCATGATGCGAAGACCAAGACAACCTCTGAAAATAAGGACTTGCGAGCGATTGGCTGCACCTTTCCAACACCTGCATGTAAGATATGCTATTGTACTTGTAACAGTATGTGTCCTCCAAAACGCTGTCTACTGAGTCTGGTGGAACACCCTTTTGGTGTTTTGGGCCCGTGCAGGAAGCGGATCAGCTGGGCGTGCGGAAGCTGAGTGCTGAGTTGGAGGCCTTCCTGAGGACTCAGCCCAACCAGAGCGCCGCCTGGAGGAACTGGGCGGGTGCGCATCAGGTCTTAATGGCCAATGGGCTGATACCTGAGGGTGCAGTGGGTATGCAACAGGCACGGGAAGCCTTTGAGGATCTGGAGAGGAATGGGAAAGTAGACATTCAACCAGATAGTGTGCAGCTGCGAGAGAAGCCCAAAGGCAGCGGCTGGTATATCCCCCCACCCAAGAAGCCTAAGGCCAAATGCCGCGGCCGGGGGAGGAAGCGCTAGCCGCTAACCGGCCTGACTGTTGTTGGGGATGCAGGCGGAATGATTTAGAATGATTTAGGAGGTCCTGGCAATGCAACCCAAAGAGGTTGAACCCACAATGCCGAGACCTGACGACATGACATGACTTTGTTCTTGTCAACATGCGTGTGAGGGGCGATGAATCTCCTCAAAGCGTTCTCTGGGACTCAAATTCCATCAAGTTCTCCTTTCTGCGAGGGCTTTCTTCGTCACAGGTTCCTGTGACTTGCTAATCTTGCTACAGCTTAGACTCGGCGCATGATCTTGTGTCTGCTAGGGGGAAAGAAGTCATGGCGATGACGTCAATGACCTCTGTACGTATGGAGGTCGACAGTCGACAGCTTTGAGTTTTCATGCTGAGCTGCTCCAGTCATGGTTGTGTGAAGTTGAGGGTCAAGGGAGCTAAGCAGTTAACAGCTAACCATAGCTAACCTGTGGCCGCTGATGGCTCCTGCAACAGGTTTTGGCCTCGTGATTGGACTCGGTCTTAGTGGTTGCAGTCTGCGCGCAGCTGGAGGCCCAAATGGAATGGCCAAGTCACAAAGATCACAGTGTATGGGTAAATTGAGGTTTTCTTCAGCTGATGCTGGCCAAGTTGAACTGGTTGGAGTACAATGTTATCATTTGCCTGTATTTGACAGTTAGCATATGTTAGCATGAAGTTGCATAATGTGAATTGCATGTTTCCAGACACCAACATTTATTGCAGATGCTGTGCCATGCCGCTGAAGGGGTATGACGACGGTAGGCGATTTGAAACGCCCTCTTGATGCCGAGGAAGAGGCCTCTTCCAAAAAGGCGTGTCTGGAGGTGTCCGACGGGAAGACAGGTGAAGATGGTGGCCAGCAAGGTGATGAGCTGAAGAGGACCAAAACACATGAAGAAGAATTTGATGAACTCTTTGAGGGTGGCTTTTTGGATGAGCCTCTTGAGGCTCCTGTGGCTCCCGAAGAGGCAGCTAGAAGAGAATTCGCAGAGACGATTGCACAGAAGGGCTACAGAGTGGACGAGGAGGAGTTGCCAGAGCTTTTGACTGTGATTCATGAAAAGGCTCCTTCATGGGGTGAACAGAAAGAGAGGCGTTCTGCAGCTTTCCTCATAGGCTGTATTGCCCGATCCACCCGGGCATGTCGAATCAGCTTCGTGGCACAGGATGGCTTGAAGCTGTTGGGCGCAGTGCTTAAGGAAGCCGTCCGTCGGCTCTCAGGTACTGAAGGTCGAGAGGAGGCTGGCATGGTCACCTTAGCTTGCCTAGCATGTTTGAAAGCATTACCGCTGGGAAGAGCCTCTCTGTGGGAACATCGACAGGCCATCGGGAAGCCCTTCGATGAGTTACACAAGTGGTGTGCCAAAGAGCGCAGCGCCTTGGCCGCAGAGTTGCGTGCCCCCACGCTGGAGCTTTGCAAACGCTGGAAACGACAACCGAAGCCTGCGGCACAGGAACAGAGCCCAGAGGATAAGGCCATGCGCCGTCGCGTGGTTGAACTCATCTCACAAGGTTTGCAAGGCTTTGGTGGTGCTTCTCCAGCATCTCCAGCCGGTCCCCTACCATCTCCAGCGCAGCTGCCCAACAACCTGGTGGCTGTGGAGGTGGAGAACTTATTGTGGGGCAAATATGGTAAAGCCAAGGTGGCGGACTACCGGCACCACGCCCGGATGCTCCGCAGCAACTTGTCCCAGTCCGGGAACTCGGAGCTGCGCGGGCGGGTCCTGTCGGGCGCGCTGAAGCCGGAGGAGCTCATCGCCATGGATTCCAATGCCCTGGCGCCCGAGGAGGTGCGCAAGAAGCGCGAAGAAGCACAAGAGAAGGCCATGAGGGAGTCGGTGGTGGAGGAGCTGATTCCCCTTCACCTTCAAGATGGAGACAACAGCGCTTTTGACCGGGGTGCAGATCTCAACACTGCGCCGGTGGTGTGGGTAAGCCCCTCCAAAGAGAAGGAGAAGGCCAAGAAGGAGGAAGTGGAGGAGGACTCACCCAGCCAGAAGGATGCTCTACGAATGTTGCCACCACCAACACCCTTCACCTTAAGTACTCCGGCTCCAGCACCTCCAACAGTAGATGTTAGTACTCCAGAGATGATGGCGACTCCAGGGCCTGATGACGATGATGAAGACGAGCTCAGTGTGCTACGCTACCTATCAGCACCACCATAGACATGCAGCAGAAAAGAGAAAGAGAGAGAGAGAGAGAGTCGACTGAACTTGCACACCAAATGCAGTCACGAACAGGCCAAGATCATCATGGTGACTGGATTTCAACATGATTTGAGTGGTTGGGGATTGAATTGCTTGGAAGAAGCACATTTTTGTCTAAAAGAGCTCCCTTGGTTCTCTTGCCTCGTTCCCCGTGGTTGAGCTCAGATCCTCAACGCGTAGGCAAGACATGAGACATCAAGAAACCAAACGGATGGCGAGATGGTCTCACAGCTTTTCTGAACATGGTTTACTTTGACAGAACTTCTCATCACTTGAAGCCTCTAGTGACCAACATCACTCAGCGATAGATTGTACATGTAGGTTTCACTGGCCATGGCCATCCCTTTGGTGAACGCTCCGTGGATTTCCTGTCAGCACCGTGTGCCACGCCCTTGCTTTCCCACCCGCCACGCACCGCAGACAGACTGGAAGACCACGGCCGCTGCAGCCACATTGGGTGGCACTCTGGCGGCACTGCTCCAACGCTTGCGCCGGGCCGTGCCACCTGAACGCCGTCGGCTCCTGCGGGAAGCGAGCCTGGCACAGCTGCGGATCATCGCAGTGGGGCTGGAACTGCCTCAGTGCGCGGATGAGCAGAGGTTGGCGAAGAGGATCTCTCAGGCTTTTGAGGAGGATGACAGCTTTGCGCGACAAAGACTGGGAGCTACGCTGCTGAATAGCCCCATTCTAGAGTCGAAAAGCGAAGAGTTTCAACGGCTCATTGCTGAGCGGTTTAAATGGAGAGAGCTGCAGAGACTTCCTGGCAAGTTTCAGTTTGCTTTCATTTGCTTTCAATCCAATGCAAGATACCTCAAAAACTAGGTCTGACAAGTCCAAAATGACAACTGTTTGGGACATTTTGGGACAGTTCTTAAATCTGACAACCCTTTGATTCCAGCAATTCCAAAACTGTGATTCCAGCAATTTCCACAACCTTTTTCGTTTCCACTTGATTGTTTGACTGCCCTCGATCCTTCGTTATCTCTCGACTGCCAGGCCTTTGTCGGCTGCTGCGACTACGCACGCGGGGTCGGAAGGCCATTCGACCATTCGACGGCGGGCATCGCAACCAGTTCAAGAAAAGTCCCCATTTGGATCGGTCCGGTATATGCCTCTCAGAATAGGGAGACCCCCCAACCAAGTATGTTTTAGGTTGCAGTTTATAAGTGACTACATTAGCACCTGCATCGGCCTATTTATTTGAGGTTTCTGTTTTATTCTCAGGACTATTTCAAAAAAAACAAGGACTATTCCTTAACATGTCCAGGACTATTTCATAAATACTGTAATATTTAATATCTATTAACTACTACTGACTACTACTAGTTAAATACTAGCTATTCTACACAGGATTCTGTCTGATTGCATGGCCTTTGTATAATGGGCATTGGTAGGGCCCATGCGGAGTGTTGGTCTAAACAGTCGAGCCACTAGAATGGCAAGGTCAGAGTCTAAAATATTACTAAGGCCAAGGCCCAAGGCCATCCTGTTGGCTATGATTCATGGGCGATGGATAAAGTAAAAGGGCTCTCTAGACCACAAACTTTGGTGGAGAAATGTTTCCTTACAAACACAGACCAGTCAGCTACAAGGGAGACTGGGGATTAGCGGGATGTCCATTTTGTATTGAAAGGTTATGGTCAGGTTTGGTATGCTGGTGTAAGATTTTTAACACTGTGACACTGTGGCAGCAGACGCACACATGTCAGATCAGGGGCGTCGTTTTCTTTGCAAACCTGGAAAGGGTGGGAAATGCTGTTTGGCACTTTGCCAGCCCGCGCCTTCTTTGGTGTTGTTGTCGTCGTTTTTTGAGCTCTCAGGCTAAGGGTGAGTGTGAGCGTTGAAAGCTGTATCATGTGGCAGCAAGGCATCACTCGAAAGGCCAGGAAAATGTGTTGTTACTGGTTTCTTGGCTTCCTACCTTTGCCAGCCTTTGCCATGGCCATGGCAAGCGATCTTCAGTCTGCATCAGCAGCATCGTTTGCCAACTCAGAAGAAGCAGATGTGTGCAAGGCTTTCCTGGGTGCTCCAGATGGCATGTCCGAATACAAGTTTGACCAGCAACCAAACTGAAAACAGTCGATGTTTGATGTCCTGTGAACAAACGTGACTGTTTGACTTATAAATATTTATACTTTACTTTACTTTACTGTACTTATACAACGAACTCAAGACTCCAGCAACTGGGTTTCTAATTACAGGTTCGGTCTGGTGCTGGGAATGCATCGAGATTGGACGGAAGCGTGGAAGATGTCAGCAAAACAGAACGCCTAGCCAAGGCTCCACAGGTTCAATTCAAAATAAAGGCCAGGCTAGGCTAGAATCTTCTTTTTCAGGGACTGGTGCTGATGTGACCAGTACAGTAGATGATGGTAGAGTTTTTTGACTGACCAGGCTACTGGCTTGAATCGGCCATGTTAGGTACAGTGTCCCAGGGTTGTTCCATGCAAGATTCTCTGAGGCACTCTGTCCACTCTTCTTCCTTGGATGCCAAGCCCATTTACCTGGACTGGGCAGGCTTTGTTTGCGCTGAGCTGAACCTTCCCTATTTGGACAGGGACAGCGATGGTAACCTACCCAAGTGGCTTGGAGGTTATGTTATACTAACTCACCAAATTACAAACCTGTTCCCATTGCTGGGGGCCTTTCTATCCTGATTTGTTGTTTGCCTTTGGCATATGCAGTATGGCGTGGCATATGGAATTGCCAAACTCTGTTGGTGAGCAAGGAAGAACAATGAAGTGCAGTGAAGTGATCTGATTAATGGGAGTGCGATCGCTCTGATTTGATTTCTGATTCTGGTTTGTTATCAATCATTTGAAATTCGGTTCTAAGGTATATCTTGGCTGAGGGATGCGCTGGGGCAGCGACTGGTACATATTGTATGCCACTTGGCGTATTGCCATGACAAAGAATTACCTAACTGCACCAACTCAGAAGGACACAGTGTCATACATGAGTCAGGGGTCACATTGGCTCATTGGACTCACTGGAGTCACTATCAATGCCAATGCCTTGGTTGCAAATCACATTTAGAATCTAGAAAGAATCAGATTGGCCGCCCTTGAGTCCAGTTCAGTCTTTTGCAGACCCAATGACCTGTGAGGCATTGTCCATTTTTCTACTCTTGTTTTTGCTTCACAAACTATGGCTGCGAGGCAGCAAATCGAGAAGGTCTTGAAAATGGATTGGACAACCTGTTCAGTGTCAGACATATGCCCGATGAAGAGGAGGTGGATGAAGGCCCACTACTGCAAGAACCCTTCGAAAAGCCACTTGGTCTTGAGTGGAATGTGTGTGTGTATATATAAAGTGAGTCTGTGTTGAGGTTGTAGCCACTGATTCGGACATGAGATGTGCATGTGACATGTGTGACCCGCCCTTTGTATCCTTTATATGTGCCACATTCACACACGGTTACTCTCACATACAGTGCACACATACTTCCTGGTGTTATGGCGCGCAGTGTCACTAAGTAAAATAAATGGCAAACAAGTCACCCTCCGCTGCAGTCACTACTTGCACTGAGTCCAGCACATGTTCCAGAACATGAAGTCCGGTTGCGAGGGTGGCCACTGCGAGATTCATGATGGGTTCTGCCACCGCCAGTCGCACCAGGACAGACTAAGTAATTTCTGGTAATCGGGTCATCAGATTGCGGCTACATTGAACTCGAACAAACCAGTGTAGGATGATCCAGGATGATGGGACCTTTTTTGAAGCTAAGCTAGGCTAAGCTGACAGGCAACTTCCGAGCACAATCTTGCGTCCTCATCCTCATGAACTACTTGTTGTGAGTTCTTTTGTTGTGATTATTGACTGGCCAATGGACCGTGTGCAAAGACAATGGGCTGTGGCCCATGGCTATGGACCTTGGATTCAATTGATATGGCATTGCTGTGCTGGCGTTGCCGCATTTGAAGTTGAAATACATGACTTGGGTGTTTCAAAAGAGCCCAGTACAGAGTAAGGCAATGGTTGCGAAGTAGATTATCCTGAATCCTTAATGCATCCATCCCGCATCCCTGGCTTCAGGATATATTCCTGTTTGGCCCTCCGTGCCAGCCGTATTCGAGACTGAACTCCAAACGTGCTGATCCAAAGTTTTGCCCAATGGACACCAAAGAAGCTGAACCCTTCGTTTGGGGTTCGAGGCATATTCGAACCTCAGCTGCACTTCCTTTAAGCCTGGGTCTGTTTTGGTATGCAGAAGGGTAAGGGAACGAGACTTGCTCCTAGGCTATGATACAGAGGGAGAGTCAATAGTCAATACGAAAGGTGTCCACTGTCCACTGTTTTGTTTGTAGGCCAGCCAAATGTTCATGTCATTTGTGGCATTGAAGGAGTGCTGCAGCTTTACTTCAGACCACATACATTACAGGGATGGCCCTTGATATACGGCGGCATATTGTTATTTGCCACAGTGTTAAAGAGCGTTTGAGATTTGTTACTGTCAAGACAAGACTCAAGACTTTATGGCACCAATGGTGCGTGGCAATCACTGACTGCCCAGGTATGAATCGGCCACTTATTGCAATCATGGAGGAGGCCAGGACCAGGGTCAGTAGGAAAGAGGTGGAGCCTCTTGGTTGGGGAGTATCATTGCAGCCAGTTTCTGACAACTTCCAGCACTCGTACCATTTTTTGCAATTCACATATTGAGACGATCACTCTGCGGCTCCAGCAAACTCACTGAAGGCCTGACTAGAATCATTTGCCAAAGAGTCCAAAGAGTCAAGAGTCAGAGTGTCTTAGTCTTAGTCTTAGTCGTAGTCTTTATTAAAACGGGAATAAACAGAAGAACTGACTATGACTAAGAGAACTGAACTGAGCAGCGTACAGACATATTTTAAGACTGACTTTGCACTTTGTGGTCAGCAGCTGGAGATAGATAGCTGGACTAGATCCTGCTCACGCCTGTTGAAGAACACATACTGTAACAATCTGATCATCTCATCATCTCATCTCAAAAAATGTTCTTCCAGTTGACAGCTGTCCCAGGTGGAAGGGATTTTCGACACCTTCGCCGTCTTGAAGAATGGTGGCCATCCAGACTATGATGGATTCCAGGTTCGCGCGGGCCAGATTTACGGGCAATATGTGTGTCAGATTCACAATCAGAAATCAGAAAGTAGTTTTTCCACCCAGGCAACTGTTTGTTCCACAGGTGAGGTCAGGTCAGGTCGGGTCAGGTCATCAAATTTGTTATAGACAGCGAGAGAATGTTGATCTAGAGTCTAGAATTAGAACTTTTCTGATTTTGCTTCAGCCAAGCTGCAGCCCAAACCTCATTCAAAACATGATGATCAGGATCGGATATGAAGAGTAGTAGAAAGCGGAAGAGTCAGAGTCACACTTAGACTGACTTAGTCTTCTTAGAAGCAAGGCTGCAGCAGGGTTTAGAAAGGCAGCCCAAGGTTTAAACAAGCACAGCTTCAGGCACATGTAGTCAGAAGCAGCATGCATGGTTCATGGTCCATTGAAACAAAGTCGGTTAGAGTCATCGTCATCGTTCTTTTTGTTTGTCCGCTTCCGCACGCCAATGTTTCACCAGTGAGTGGCCCACAACATTTGGCAACTGGAAGCTGGTTGCCCTGTGGCCATGCAAAGCCAAAACCTTCGTGCGCGCAAAAATTGCTTGCATGAGCGAGCACAGAAGCCTTTCAGTGAAAGGAGGCTACAAACAGAGAAAGCAAGGATCAAAAAGCAGTTGAAGTCTCAGGCTGAAAAACTCCAGAGGCAGAACGAGAATGCTGCACAACAAAGCTTTGGGGCTGCCCCGAAGCCAGTGGCAAGTTATGCAGAGCATTTGAGGCATTGGTTCTTTACCCCAGCGTTTGTCAATGTACAAAAACAAGAGAATGTGTACAAGAAAGACGATTGGAAAACGTATCAAAAGGACCGTGCACGTGGTGTGTTCTGCTTGATTAGGGCACTAGTGACTACCATCAACAGTCTCTTCACAGTTAGCCCATCGCAGTCACGTCCTGAGATCTTCCACACCCTGAACGTCCACACTGTGGACGATACTTCTACC